GAATAATTCTTTAAGAATTTCCATTTGGGCTCATAATTCTTCGGGCATAGTTTCTCTTTGGGCTTTATAATGAGGAAGTAAAGCGTGGCGAAAATTTGTTCCACCACCATCAAAAGCCACTAATAGTTTTTGGTAAGAACTTTTTTTTAAAACACTGATTAATACTCGCAGAAAAAGAAAAATCGCTCCTTGGGACATTTTCCAGGGTAATTTTTGAAAAGCATAGTAAGAAGAATAAAGCAAGTTATTACCATCTATTATCAGAAATTTTTCTCTTTCCTTTGTCATTTACTACTACATTTTACGTAACTTTTCATTAACCAAAATTAGAATTGTTTTCACGGCTTCGTCCGGGGTCAAATTAGTAACATTTATTTCGTGACTATCAGCAGTTTTTCTTAATGGTGAAACCGAGCGATTTTGGTCCCGCACGTCTCGCTGTAATAACTCTTCTTTTATCTTGTTGCGACTAACTTTTTTCTCACAATCTTGTTGGTATCTTCTTTCCACCCGGGTCTCCAAGTCGGCAGTCAAAAATATCTTTACTTCGGCGTGGGGTAGAACTTCGGAAGTTATGTCCCGTCCAACTACCACTCAAGTTTTTTCTTGGGTTAATGCTCGTTGAAAATCCAAAATAATTTTTCGTAGTTCGGGCAGTGGCGAAAGTTGCGAAGCCAAATTACCGATAGCCGAAGCACTTAAAATACCTCTTGCTTTTTCTAATTGTTGCGAAAATTTTCACGGATTATTAATTAACTTTTTTTGCCAAATTTTACTTAATTTAATTACTTGTTCATCAGTTAATTCCGAAGGATTATTTTTCTGGCAAAACTGGGCAAAATGGCGAAACAACAAACCGCTATCGAGAAATTGGTAATTGAGTTGCTGAGCCAGTTTTTTTCCGATGGTTGTCTTGCCGGAAGCCACCGGTCCATCAATAGCAACATTTATTTTGTCTTTTACCAAACTTTTCAAGAGTATTTATTAATAGTTTTTATAAAACGTGTTTTAATTAAATAATTCAAGGAGCAAGGAGCGAGAAAAAATAATGCTAAGGGGATATTAAGCAATTGGACTGTCATTAGTTAAAAAAATATCCTAATTGGCAAAGAGAGAGGAAAATAGCAAATCAGTAAAAATAAAAGTAATTAATACAAATAAAAAGTATGACATACAAAAACAAAGAACTAGGAAAAAAGATTAACAGTTTGACTGTTAAAATAAGGCGAGAAAAGGAAAGAGGAAGGGAAGTGAGCGAGTTGCAGGCTGAACTTGATAATTTAAAAAAACAAAATTATTTAGAAAGAAAAAAGTCTGACAAGGATGAAAAAAAAGAAAAGTTAGAATTTCAAACAAGAATGAAAATTTATCGAAAGTTGAGGAACAAATGGTTAGGGAAGTCACAAAAAATTATGGGGGAGAGAAGCCCGGGAGAAGTAATAGCGAGTTTTTTTAGCAACCTTTTTATTAGCGTAACA